CGGTGAAGATTATCTCTGGCAACTCAAACAGGAGAGCCAAAATTAAGACTGAAGGCTGGGTGACTTGTACAATCAGCCAAGCAGACTCCATTTCCATGGGCAATTGTGCTCTGGTTAAGGCGAGTGGCGGGCCTCCACTGTATCACTATGCTCCAGGGTGAGCTTACTGTAATATTGTTATGCAAATGACCTCACTGATTACCCATACAGCACCAATCAGCAATTCCCTCTTCACATAACACTGTGTGTACAAAACATTAGGAACACCTGCTCTTTCTATGACAGACTGACCAGGTGAATAATAATAATAATAATAATAATAATAATAATAATAATAATAATAATAATAATAATAATAATAAAAATATGCCATTTAGCAGACGCTTTTATCCAAAGCGACTTAGTCATGTGTGCATACACAGGTGAAAACTATGATCCCTCATTGATGTCATCTATTATCCCTTATTCACGGCAGAAAAACCTGCAGTAGTCTTTCTAATAAACCATGGGAAGTGTTTTAATTGTTTATATATATATATATTTTTTTTTACAATTACACCCATTTTAATGCCAAAGACACACGAGAGTGGCTTTCCAAGAGGTGTTGAGTGTTCCTGAATGGTCCAGTCTCAGTCTGCAATCAAAAACAATGGATATACACTGAGTGTACAAAACCTTAAGAACATGGGCCAGCATCCCTGTGGAACACTTTCGACACCTTGTAGAGTCCATGCTCCGACATGTTGAGGCTGTTCTGATGGCAAAAGAGGGGTGCAACTCAATATCAGGAAGGTGTTCCTAATGTTTTATACACTCAGTGTAGATTGAGTTTTAATGGCCTTATAGTTATGCAATAGTTGTCTGTCCAGCTTTCCATTTAGGTCACAGTTGAACTATGCCAATGAAAACAATATAATATATTTGGATAATGTGCAAAACATTATAATGGAAAATAAATTATGCTTTATTAATCTTAATCACATTTTACAGATTATGTACTGGTGATAACACATTATCTGCTATGGATTTCTCCTTAGGTGTACCAATACTCTTTCCTGGCATCCTACTTGATATACAACCTGCATACAAGGTATGTATCACCTGTCAAGATTTGAGTAGACTAATAGTAAACAGAAGGCAATTTCCAACCAAGACGGCAGCAGAACCCGTGTGTCTTGTGCGCTTCTGTTTATTTGTTTGCAAGTGTTTTTAGGTTATAATCATTCCAGATACAACAGTATTTTTTTATATAGTCAACAAGTTACTTGGCTATAAAAAAGATCATCCATCTTTTCTCTTATCGGAGAAAGCAAACCGATATAAATCGCTCCGCTCCGGTGCCAATGCTAAAAGATCCTCCACCACGCACCTGTCTGGTTGAAAGCCTCTTCTCATACCCAGCCTCCCGACTATCCAGGCCTGCTCCCCCCCGGTCTGGTACAGGTACCCCCTGCCAATTGCCCCCTTCTTCCCCGAGCTTCGCTCACCTCCAGCACACATTTACACACACACCTGTAGACTTGTGTGGACTTTTACTTGGGAACTTGTATTAATTTAGATTGGTATTACTTGGCCTTTATTGTTATTTTATTGTAGCTTATGTACTGTAGATTAGGCCTATTTCTTTCTGACTTAGAAAACGTTATATGATTATTTCTCACGTTGATTGATCGGATACAAACGAACATGTTGCTGTTGCTATTTTCTACCCTTGAATCTTACACTGAGGATGATGCATTTAGGGCCCGATGCCTCTTAAATGCGGCAAACTTTGAGTGTTTTTCCCATGTTGCATCAAATACTTTTTTCCCTCACTGTATGCAGACCTCAAGCACTACCATGAAGGCACTCGATTCTGTGTAAAATGCAGCTCTTAGGTTTATTACCAACCAAAAGCATCTGACACACCACTGTGATCACTGTCTAGTTGTTGGTTGTTCTTCGTTGACTCTACGTCGGCTTAGTATACACAATGCAAGTATACACAACGTAACATTGGTATACTATGATCTATAAGGCCATTCTGATGCCATTTTGAGAAAACTGCCAATTTATCTCTGTTCTTATTTGATAAGGTCAGAAAATAAATACTAGTTACAGTCTCACTCCTACTTACTTTTAGCTGTTCCTGAAATCAGAATGAATAATGGCAAAAAGGGTTTTAGCTACTCAGCTCCGTGGCCTTGGAATTCTCTCCAGACCAGCTTAAAACTCCAGGATCTTGTTTTCTTGGAGTTTAAAAGTTTGGTTGACTCACATGTTACTAAGGAATGTGATTGTCGTTAGGACGATGCGTTGGTACATATGATAGATTTTTCATCTTTTACGCTTTTATGTTTCTGTAATTGAAATGTGTGTGTCTACGTAATTTGTAAAAATAAATATTGTGTGTCTATGTGTGTAGGTTCTTACAGTATGTCTGATATTTGTCTCAAACATTGTTCCCCCCCTGCTTCTGTCTTGGTTGGACCAAGTCTCTCTTGAAAAATGTATTTTATCTCAGTGAGAGTAACCTGGGTAAATAAAGGTTAAATAAAAATACTCCAAAACTGATGTTTGTATATGAAGGACTGCATAATGATGTTGGGTTTTGAACCAGGGAGGTACAGGAGCTGAACCCTCCAGAGGTGTCGGACTCGGTCCTGCAGTTTGCTTCTTGGGGCGTTCGGGATCAACAGCTGGTGAGTAGTCCTCTGGGTCAGCTTGAAGACGATGACTCATGCTAATGTAGGGTTTACGATGTGTACACTGCACACCGTGTACTCAATCACGTTGAGTTCATGTCCTTTACTCATGCATTGCAGTAGATTTATGATAACTAGTTAAAGTCGGATGAAATGGGGTGAGGTGAATAGGGCCTTGTCCACAAATTGGTTTGGTATTTGTAGCATGTCTGCACCGGGACCACACCATACACACAACAACACAACCAAGCGTACAAACTTGTAGAGCACGATGCTAGGAGTGTTTTACTGTAGATCTCAGGATGATGACATCACACAGTGAGACAACTAGCAGTGAATGGCATTCCTCCATTGGAAAGCCATATATAGTAAGTATGTAAGCCTTGGACAAGCCAGAACAGCACATAGGGCAGAATCTAAAGATTCTGTAGCATGAGGCAGCTTGATGACAGAATGATAGTCTATCGCATGGCATAACCCACAATCCATCTCCTTAATGCTGAGTGTCAAGCAGAGGCATCAGGTCAGATTTCTAGACTCTTTGGTTTGACTCAACTGTGGATCAAACCCCCAACAGGGCGGACACATTAACCACAAGGCCACTGAGTTGGTTTAAAGCCATATGAGGGGGTGGGATATCACACAACGTCTTCTGTAGTGTTGAAGCCAAAATAGCCATTTGTGTTTGAATAAGTTAGATTGACCTTCCCTCATACTGTGAGTAAAAACAATGTTACACGATCGAAAGCAGGAGCGAAGGACTCTCAATCTCAAATCAGATCTTTGAAGTCTATTGTAAAACATGAAATCAACATTTCTTGACTTTAAGTCATGAGTCCATGAAATACAATGTATTTTGTTGTGTTTTGCTCAAAGGTGAATGTTGATTAAAGGTTGTTTTTGACATGAGAGAAATGGTAAACAAAAACCGTAAAAGGAACCAATTATCGAGACGGAAAACGAACAACAGTATTACTTATCAACCCATTGCTTTAAGACATGTTTTTGGCTACCAGATCTCTCTTTTTGAGTAATTCCCTCTACCCAACGAGTATTAAGCATGGCATTATCAGTCCATTATTTGTAAAGCGTAGACATGGAAAGTAATTAACCGTTTGATAGCATATTTATCTACTTTTTGCAGTATTTATACCTGGCCCCCATGTAATCAGTTACATAGGCTGCTTACACAGGCAGCCCAATTCTGATCTTTTTTTTCTTCACTAATTTGTCTTTTGATCAATCAGATCAGTTTTGAAAAAGGTCTAATGTGAAAAGATCTGATGTGATTGGTTAAAAGACCAATTAATAGAAAAAATATCAGAATTTGTCTGCCTGTGTAAAAGCAACCTTAGAAAGCCCTGCAGCTGTGTGTGTGTGTGTGTCCATTTGCGTCCGCTGGTGCATGAGTGTGTGTGGCTCTGGTAGTGACAGAGTAGGTTTCATTATTCATTAGCTCCTTCTGCATATTTGTCTGTGTTATCACTTCACATGAACTCATTACTTATGGCCTTCCCACTGCATATCCATTTATGTAAGCTCCTCACACCAACACTTCCTCACAGTCTCCTACCATGTAAACACATTTTCTCAATTTGTCTAACAGAAATTGTTAAAAATTACCACTTTGACATATGTTAAGACCTCAACCGGGACAATTTATTGCATTTCTTTCGGAACTTTCCAAATTGATTCTAAGATACAATGGGGGAAAAAAGCTAAAAACTGTGGATAGGAAGTCAAATATTTGAGAGGAAAAGCAATAGTCCCTCTCATTTAGTGACTTCTCAGAGTTTTCTATGGCAGTGCCATTTTGCACCTCATCCATATTCTTGTTCAGTGGACCAAACTGGGCAGGAAGGCTGGATCCAAATCCAGCCTTCCAAATAGTCTGGGTAGCCATGATTAGCTGTTCGGGAGTCTTATGGCTTGGGGGTAGAAGCTGTTAAGAAGCCTTTTGGTTCCTAGACTTGGCGCTCCGGTACCGCTTGCCATGTTTTTTTCTGGTTGCACATTTAACATGCTAATTCAAGAGGCTTTTATGTGTTGTTGATTCTGCCTTCAGTGAATAACTTTTTGAATGTGTGTGTGAGTATAACTTTATCAGTCTGCTTTGAGTGAGTGTGAGTGTGTGAGTGTGTGTGTGTGTGTGTGTGTGTGTTTCTTTCACATATACGCCTCCACACACTTGTCTTAATAAACCATACGCTTTTTTTATTTATAAGTGATGATAATGATGATAAGCATGATCTTATTATGTAGCAGGAACATCAACTAAATGTAGGTGAACGCAGTAGATTTGATATCCCACTATTAATGAAACATCGTTCTCATCAAAAGGTGTATGTCTTTGAAAACAACATTTACTACCAGATGGATGTCAAAAGCAGTTCTTGGAGACTGACGTCCTCGGGACAAGAAGGAGTGGTCTTCAATGGCATCGCTGATTGGTTATATGAAGGTAAGACGGCCACTGTTCTGACAATATTGGTCAACAATGGTTGAGAATGTCCATATATGACAACCTCAGGCTGGAATTCACCTATACTGTGTGAACAGTATAGGTACATTCCACTACTCTGAAATGGCTTCCTTTCTTTATGTCCTGGGGACTGTCTTTTGTAACCACGGATAGCAAAAAGACTTGACTGGTGTCCATAGAACAGGATTCACAAACACACACACACACACACACACACAATCTCTCTCTCACACAACCCACACATAGATAGGGAGTGTATTTACACTGTACCATTTGTGGAGACATGTTTAATAACTCTATGACGATTGTGCATCCTATAGGGCCATTGTTACATTTAGCTAGATTATTGGTTGTTTAGAGCAGCAAAACTAGAAATGTCCCCAAATGAGCTATTTGTACACATTATATTGGGTTGGCCAATGGAAAGTGAAGAGGCTGATAATTTTGTCATCTCCCACATGATTTCTGCCTGCCTGGCACTCCTACTGCATAATGGTTCAGCCTCTCCTATTCCTTCTACTCTAAGTAATGAGAGAGAGTACATGAATCCATTGTTTAGCTGTACACACGCACATTATTATTCCTGGAGGAATTAGAAAAGAGAAAAAGAAAAGGAGCTAAAAAAAAGGGATGATATTTCAAAATAGAAAAGTGTCCTTGCATTTCTTTCAGATAAATAAAATACCTGTTATTAGCGCTGTGAATGTGTTTTTAAATGCTTTTCACCTCAATGGCAAAATTATTTTGTTGTGTACAGTTTTATTTATATACAGTAAAATGATTTAAATATTGGCAGAGTTCAAGTGTAGATTTACCATAAGCAATGTTCTATCCACTTGGCATAAACCGGTTATGAAATATTCTCCTTTCATTGTTTTACAGAGGAAGTGCTGCACTCTCAAGTGGCTCATTGGTGGTCCCCTGATGGGTCCCGACTGGCCTACCTCAACCTCAACGACACTCTGGTACCCAACATGCTCCTGCCTCGCTTCACTGGCGCCCTCTACCCCAGGGGCCAACTGTACCCTTACCCCAAGGTAAGAGTTAGGCCAACAATCCCTTACCCCAAGGTAAGTTAGATCCCAGTACCAATTTAGACCAAGTTAGGCTAACAGTAACCTTACTCCAAGGTAAGACTTAGACCAACAGTACCCTTACTAGGGCTGTGGCGATCATGAATATTTGTCAACCAAATAACCGCAGATCTCACGGTAATTTACCATTCATTAACAAAACACGTCTAGCATCTCCTGGCTTCCACGCATAGCCTACAAGCTACTGCTGCAGACCTTTGGAATATCTACATTTTAAAAAGTATAATAAGTACATTTAATATAGCCTACGCCATCACAATAAATCCATTATTTATTTTAGACAGGTCTAAAAAAACATGATATGAAGAAAATGTAGTCCATTTCAGAAGAACAGAATAGTATACTCTGACATTATGTTAGGCCCTGATCTGGCTATGCCATATGGCTGTGTGATACACTAGTGTCACGCCCTGACGTATGGAACTCTTGTTTGTTTAGTCAGGGTGTGGAAATCTATGTGATGTTTTCTATGTTTAGGATCTAGATTCGTATTTCTATGTTTGGCCGGGTGTGATTCCCAATCAGAGGCAGCTGTCGCTCGTTGTCTCTGATTGGGGATCATACGTAAGTAGCCTGTTTGCCTACCTATGTTGTGGGATCTTGTTCCTGTGTTTGGCTTGTATTGTGTATAGCCTTGGACTTCACGTTACGTTGGTTTGTTGTTTTGTTTGTATGTTTATTTTATAAAATAAACATGTTCACATCACACGCTGCACCTTGGTCTGACCCGTCTCTCAACGATCGTGACAACTAGTTCATTTCACAGACAAGATTTGCTTAGAATTCCGTGGCATTATTTTATAGTATGAAGAAGACAATTGAACATAGCTGAATAAAATAAAAATGATATTTTCTCCAAACGATTTCCGAGGGAGTGCGAACATGCGGCTATTCTGTGTTGAACAGGTCCTCCTATATCCTTAATTTAGAGTTATTTATGCAACTTTAGTTGTGATACAAACGTTGGGCTATATGTTTAGATTTTTAATACATTCTAATGCTGAATGACATGACTCTAATGATGATTTGAAAAAAGTTTCATGAAAGGCATGAGCTCTGCTTTGTTTCTTACGCAGGCTGCACACACCTCATCAGTCTCTCATTCATAGCGCTTGATAATATTCTCACCAGGCCTCGAATTTCCAGGCGGCATCCCCCTTGTGTGGCCTTTGTGCCCTTTGGCTGTATATAAAAATTATAATTCCCTTCTCCTGGCTGCCAATCGCCGCACTCCGAATCACCTCTCACTCACATGGCTCTCTCAGATATCTCAATTCTTATTATCCAATGACTGTCAGGTGATCGGATCCTTCTCACAGGCATCTCAGCTCCGAAGTAGGCTACAAGTGAAGACAGACACATCGGGGACGCAACTGTGCATGTCCTTATCGAATTCCAAGGCACATATTGAACATGTTAGAAGAACTGTCCAAATTTACTTTTCGTCAGCCAACAAAACGAGTAGGGCTAATGAACAGCAAAAGCACTAGCCTATGTCAATCTACTATCCCCCATAGTACAAACATTTTGCTATTCTATTGGTCAACTTGTCCTTCTGTGCGAGAAATAAATATATTATGGGACAGTTGTGGGATGCGATAGATCCCAAATGAATACATCCACTCGTAGCTCAGTTGGTAGAGCATGGCGCTTGCAACGCCAGTGTTGTGGGTTTGATTCCCAGAGGGGGCCAGTATGAAAAATGTATGCACTCACTAACTGTAAGTCGCTCTGGATAAGAGCTTCTGCTAAATGACTCAAATGTAAATGTAAGCCTATAGAAAGCTGATGGGATCCTCCTCTTTAATAGAGGCCATCAAAACTCTGTTTTCTCACACAATTGCATAGCCTATAGAAATGTTGCAGAACATGAGCTCCTGGGCTATCATGACATGTTTGATTAGATTTTAGAATACATTTGCATTGATGTCAAAGTGATTAGAGGGACAATAGAGTGCTGAGTATCAATTAAAATAAAATTTTATTTGTCACATACACGTGTTTAGCGGATGTTATAGCGGGTGTAGCGAAATGCTTGTGCTTCTAGCTCCGACAGTGCAGTAATATCTAACAAGTAATATCTAACAATTTCAAACATATACCCAAAACACACAAAACTAGTAAGGAATGGGATTTAAGAATATATACATATATGGACAAGCAATGACAGAGCGGCATTGACTAAGATACAGTAGAATATTATGGAATAGAATGCAGTATATACATATGAGATGAGTAGTGCAAGATATGTAAACATTATTAAAGTGACTAGTGTTCCATTTCTTAAAGTGGCCAGTGATTTCAATAGAAAGCAGCAGCCTCTAATGTGCTAGTGATGGGTATTTAACAGTCTGATGGCCTTGAGATATAAGCTGTTTTTCATTCTCTCGGTCCCAGCTTTGATGCACCTGTACTGACCTCGCCTTCTGGATGATAGCGGGGTGAACAGGCAGTGGCTCGGGTGGTTGATGTCCTTGATATTTTTGGCCTTCCTGTGACATCGGGTGCTGTATGTGTCTTGGAGTACCAGGCAGTTAGCAAGTTTGGGAGGCTACTAATGACCATCAGCAGTATCAGAGCTTGGAGAAGCCTAGTTACCGTCATGTGGAATTTGACTGCTATCATGTCTCGTGACCGCCGGTGTGGCGGTAATATAGTCACCGCAACAGCCCTAGTCATAACCCTTACCCCAAAGTACAGATGAGTCCAGCATTATCTTTACTCCAGTGTAGGTGTAGTGGGTGATGTTGGACGGAGACAGGAGAGGAAATCACGGAATAAATGGTTTAATCAATAAACAGAGGTACGCAGCAATGCGTAATACACACCAGTGCGGACAAACGGCGCACTGGGGAAATAAAGACACACAGGTGAATAACCCAGCGATACACAATAGAAAACGAGCTTTACTCTCCTCTACAATAAACAATCACACACAAAGACAAGGGGGCAGAGGGAACACTTATACAGGTACTGATGATGGGATATGAACCAGGTGTGTGTGTGTGTGTGTGTGTGTAATAAACAAGACAAAACAAATGGAATGATGAGATGAGGAGTGGCAGTGGCTAGAAGGCCGGTGACGACGAACGCCGAAGCCTGCCCGAACAAGGAGAGGAGGCAGCTTCGGAGGAAGTCGTGACAGTAGGGTTGACCTAGCAATACTACGACTTTTGTTTTCCTTTTTTTTTTACTCTGTTTATTCAGTTTTACACACGTAAGACAACACAAAACAATATAAATAATATACTCAACTATAAAATTAAAATAAATAAAAATAGGTATAAAGATACCGTACTTTAGACAAGTTAAACACACTGGGAAGAAGGGTACAAAGGTTAAAGAGCAATCTGTAGTTAATACAGGGACAGAGCGGTCACCTCGCCATTGTTCCTGTGAACAGACAAGGGATAGGGGTGGAGAAATGCAACCACTCACATTCACAGACAGTCATGGCCACAGAACGACCATCCACTGGACCAAAATGTAAGTTTACGATGCTTTAAAAAATATACAGTGGGGGAAAAAAAGTATTTAGTCAGCCACCAATTGTGCAAGTTCTCCCACTTAAAAAGATGAGAGAGGCCTGTAATTTTCATCATAGGTACACGTCAACTATGACAGACAAAATAGATTTTTTTTCTCCAGAAAATCACATTGTAGGATTTTTAATGAATATATGCACTCTAGCAAACTTCAGACGGGCCCTGGACATGTACTGGCTTAAGCAGGGGGACACGTCTGGCACTGCAGGATTTGAGTCCCTGGCGGCATAGTGTGTTACTGATGGTAGGCTTTGTTACTTTGGTCCCAGCTCTCTGCAGGTAATTCACTAGGTCCCCCCGTGTGGTTCTGGGATTTTTGCTCACCGTTCTTGTGATCATTTTGACCCCACTGGGTGAGATATTGCGTGGAGCCCCAGATCGAGGGAGATTATCAGTGGTCTTGTATGTCTTCCATTTCCTAATAATTGCTCCCACAGTTGATTTCTTCAAACCAAGCTGCTTACCTATTGCAGATTCAGTCTTCCCAGCCTGGTGCAGGTCTACAATTTTGTTTCTGGTGTCCTTTGACAGCTCTTTGGTCTTGGACATACTGGAGTTTGGAGTGTGACTGTTTGAGGTTGTGGACAGGTGTCTTTTATACTGATAACAAGTTCAAACAGGTGCCATTAATACAGGTAACGAGTGGAGGACAGAGGAGCCTCTTAAAGAAGAAGTTACAGGTCTGTGAGAGCCAGAAATCTTGCTTGTTTGTAGGTGACCAAATACTTATTTTCCACCATAATTTGCAAATAAATTCATAAAAAATCCTACAATGTGATTTTCTGGAAATTTCTTCCTCAATTTGTCTGTCATAGTTGACGTGTACCTATGATGAAAATTACAGGCCTCTCTCATATTTTTAAGTGGGAGAACTTGCACAATTGGTGGCTGACTAAATACTTTTTTCCCCCACTATATATATATATATATATATATATATATATATATATATATATATATATATATATATATGTAATTGTAAACACAATTAAAACAGGGCAAAACAAGCTCACATCTTAGTCTCTGACAGGGCAAGAGGAATAAGGCATCCGCAAGTCACATTCAATAAGAATCAATAGGCACATAATCAATCTCAATGTCCCCCCAAAACCCTCACAAAGAAATACTCCTCACAGGGGTGTCAAATACAGACTTATTTTGGTTTTAATAAGAATGCCATCAGAAGGTGGACTGTTCAAAGTAAGACCGGAATGGAGCCCAAGTATCATAAAACAGTTTGGAGTTCCCACGTGTATTGAATTTTATTTTGTCTAATTTCAGAGAGAACAACACATCTCCCACCCAATATTTATAAGATGGGGGAACTGCCATCTTCCAGTTCTGGAGTATTAACCGTCTAGCTAAGAGAGTTGTATAAGCAACAGTGTCTGACTGAATTCTTGACAGGGGGGTACCTATGGGCAGTGCTCC